CCCAAAGTCAGGGCCACTGCCAGGTTTCTCCCGCCTGACTGGTGCCTTGATTTACTTCTTCCTTCCTATTGAAAAAAGAGCACGCTCCTCTTGCAAAATCATGTTCACGCGAGGAAGCCGCGTGTAGTACAGAGAGGAAGAGAAAGACAACAGCACCATGGGCCTGCTGACCCCCGACTTTGGAATTTCCTGCTGCTGCTCCACTGGCCACAAAGGACCTGCACGAGCCCAGACTTCCCCAGACCACTGCTGTTGGCTGCTTCCAGCCTTAGGTTCGGGCTCTTTTGCCACTCATTCCCTTGCAATTTGGGCAGCAGTGGGTGGGACTTTTCAGGGTAGGAGGGAGGACCCTGAGGTGCTTTGTCCCGGTCAGGCTCCTGGACAGACTGCTGCCTTTTTGCATTTCAGGTCAACACAAGAAATCGCACAAAACCCAGCTGCCTTCAACTCCCAGGGGGTGAAGGGAAGGAAGGCTTAATGCTCTGCCACAACTTCCCTCCCCTTAAAGTGGAGCCTGAAAGAGCCTCCACCTCCTTCCAGGTGGAATTACCTGACCAGTCCCTGGCCCTGGATCTCAACTGCCCTGCTGGATTCCTCCCAGTGTTTCTTATCCTTCACTTTAGGGTAGGGGTGTCGAACTCAATCAGAGAAAGGGCCAAAATCTAAAATCCAGCCTAAATCTCGGGCCGAATGTTTTACTGAACAGTCATAAACTGTCATTGTGATGGAAACGCAGCGGAGTGCAGTGATGACAGCGCGGTGCAGGCCACATTGCAAGGCCTGGCGGGACGGATTTGGCCCGAGGGCCTTGTGTTTGACACATGTGCTTTAGGGAGTAGTGGCCACTTCCCCATGCAGAGATTCAAGTCAAAGCCCTTTTTCTGTCCCCATTCCCTGGACTGACACAGATGTAATAACTACTCATTGTGCCAGGACACCGAGGTCTAAATGGCTTAGGCATTGTGAAGCAGGGTGGCACAGGATAGAGTGCTCGTGCTACAAATCCATTGCTCTCTCCTTGCAACTAGCCAATAAGCTCGTCAAAAAGATGCTCAAATCCGTAGTCATTGGGAAATCAAAATCACGGGACTGCTAATATTAAAAAATGAAATGCAAAATAAAAGTGTGATAAGAATATGGAGAAATTGGAACCCTGCTGGCAAGGATATTTTATGGTGCGTGGACAATGTGAAAAGCAGTTTGGCATTTTCACAAAAAGTTAAACATAATGTGATCACATGATCAGCAATTCCACTCCTAGGCATGTAGCACAGAGAGCTGAAAATATTCAAACAAAAACTTGTACATGAATGTTTATGGCAACATTATTCAAAAGCCAAAAGGGAAAAACAACCCCAATGCCCATCAACTGATGAATGTGTAAGCAAAATGTGCTATGTCCATACCATGGACTTTTATTTAGGTAAAATATGGAATAAAGTACTAACACATACTAAAACATGGATGAACCTTGAAAACACGATGGTACATGAACATTGATATGAAATGTCTGGAGCAGTGAAATCTACAGGAGTAGATTTCTACAGGAGAGAAAGTCAGTTCGTGTTTGCCAGGGGCTAGTGAGAGGAGAATGCTGGGAGGAAAATGTTACCTCTTTCTCAGGTTCAAGGGGCTAGGGTCCTGCAAATTAATTAAAGTGAATTTGGAGGAGAAAGTTTATTATATGGGAGCTTTCAGATAGAGAGGATTCCTAAATAGCTAGATATAGTGGTTCATATCCCAGCTTCACAAGGGGGTTGGTGGATTAGGACTTCAAAGGATGGAAGGATCCAATGGCCCTGTTTACGCATTCTTTTGGAATGTTGTAATGTCCAAGCTCAAGCCCTCCTAATCATGCCTCCCAGATTTGGGAGGTGGGTTGGCAGCTGTCTCTTATAAAGCTCTGCTTTAGTCAGTTAAGGGGAGCTCAGTAAAGGCTCATTATTGCCCCTGTTGTAGCTCAGAGGTGTTCACTTTGAAGTGTCTTTATACTCTTCAGGTGTGTGAGCAGTCTCATTAGGAGATTGGGGAATGACTAATGACAAGTATGGACTTTCTTTTGGGGTTGAAAATGTCCTACAATTTCCTGTGGTAATGGGCCCACATTTTTGTGGATTTACAAGAATAGTAACTTATACATTTCATTTTAAAATTTTATTTTTTTTCTAATACAGTTTACATTCCATATTATTTTGCACTGTGACTTGTATACTTTAATATGGTGAATTACAGGACAAGTGAGAAGCATATCAATAATAAAAACATAAACCAGCAATGACTTCAATACAATTCAGGTAAAAGACAAGTGGGAAATTTTATAGGGTGGGTGAATCGAGGTAAAAATTTTGTAACCATTTGTTCAATATTTACATCATGAAAAATGTGAGCAACAGATATCATGTGCTTTTGATATGACGCAATAAAAGTACAAACCATCAACTATGACATGTTGTCACTAAAGCAATTGAGCCTATATCTACCCACATCCATAGAGCTCACTATAGGACATTCTGTTTCTAATGGCACATGGTCAGCACAAGGATGCCTATGGGGCCATCCAGTATGTGAATGATTCTACAGAGGAAATAATCCAGTCTTTTCGTCAAAGGAATGGCTCAGAAAAATAGGGTAGGAAGAGTTATAGATTAAAAGAGGATTGAAAGATCAGTCAGGAGCCAAAAAAACAGGTATTACAGGCTTTATTAGGAGAAAGACCTGCCAGGCTGTCTCGCAAGGGGAAAGCAGTGGCCCCAGCAGAGGTGAGCGCTCCTTTTGAAGGGAGGAATGAGAAAAGAACGGGGGCTTAGGGTATTCGGCTGGCGCTGATAGGTGATTCAATGTATAGTCCATATAAGGTACAGAATTGGGCCTCCTGGTATTTCCAGGCTGAAGGCCGAGTCATGATTACCCACCACTTCAGGGAAGGGGTGATCTATCAAGGATGAAGTAATATTTCAGCCAATTCTGTGTATGGTATATGTTTGGATCCTAATAAGAACAAGTCAAATTTAAGCGACATCTGTAGATGAAGCACATTCATTGGACATGGATATTTTCATGGGGCACTAGGGAATAATTGTAATTCCTGTTAGATATAATGATGGTACTTTGGTGATGTTTTTTTCAAAGCCTCATTTGTTAGCATTTCTGGTACAGTAGAGCATGCAGAGGAAATAACTTCTGTGGGTTTATTTATGCATGAAGTTATATGATATCTGGCATATGCTATGAAATATGCCAGCAAAAAATACAAAGATAAATCATTGGGAAAATGTTGACTATTATTGAAGAAGACAATTGATACTTACTTAGATTTATATATTGTTTTATCTGCTTTGTTTAAAATTATCTATTTTAAAGAGCTAAAAAGATGAACAAAAACAACTATGACAACCAAAACTGATAAAGTAAATCTATTTTGATGGATACAGGACTTAAACATCAGACGGGAAACCATAAAAATACTAGAAGCATCCACAGGCAGCAAAATCTCAGACATATGCCAAAAGTACTTCTTCACTGATACTGCCCCTAGGGCAATGGAAGCTAAAGAGAAAATAAACAAATGGGACTACATCAAAATAAAAAGCTTTTTTACAGCAAAAGAAACCATCAACAAAACAACAAGAAAGCCCACGGTGTGGGAGAACATATTTGCAAATAACACCACTGATAAAGGTTTAATCTCCAACATCTACAGACAGCTGATACAACTAAATAAAAGGAAGATGAATGATCCAATTAAGAAATGGGCACTGGACCTGAAAAGAATCATTTCAAAAGAAGACAGAAGGAAGGCCAGGAGAAACATGAAAACATGTTCAAAGTCACTAATTATCTGAGAGATGCAAATCAAAACAATACAGTGCCATCTCACACCTGTCAGAATGGCCAATATCAACAAATCAACAAACAACAAGTGTTGGCTAGGTTGCGGAGAAAAAGGAACCCTCCTGCACTGCTGGTGGGAATGCAGACTGGTGCAACCACTGTGGAGAACAGTGTGGAGTTTCCTCAAAAAACTGAAAATGGAACTCCCATTTGACCCAGTAATCCCACTCCTAGGAATATATCCCAAGAAACTAGAAACACCAATCAGAAAGGATATATGCACCCCTATGTTCATAGTAGCACAATCTACAATAGCCAGAATTTGGAAACAGCCTAGGTGCCCGTCAGCAGATGATTGGATCCCAAAACTATGGTACATCTACACAATGGAATACTATGCTGCCATAAAAAAGAAGGATTTCTCATCATTTGCAGCAACCTGGATGGAATTGGAGAACATCATGCTGAGTGAAATAAGCCAATCAATGAAAGAGAAACACCACATGACCCCACTCATTTTTGGATAATAAAGAACATTATAAACTGATGAACCAAAAGATAGATATAGAGACAGTAAAGCAACAAGCAGACTGTCAAATTACAGCGGGGAGGGGAGGAGGATCTGGGGGAGATAATAGATCAACCGAAGGACTTGTATACATGCATATAAATACAACCAATAGACATAAAACTCTGGGGAGGGAGGGGATGTGTGGGAGGGAGGGAGGGGGGAAAATCAATAAGATATGTAAAAAAAAAAAAGTAAATTTATTTTGAGTATGTTACTGAGATTGTGGGTGAAAATACCACCTAAGAGAGTTGATTAGAATTACATTTATAGAGCTGTATTTGGTTGTGTCTCCATTTACGGCTGGAGTCAGGCGATATTTGTTTGAAGTATTGTAAAAATATTTAACTGCTCAATTAAAGTGCAGAGTATCTATTTTTAGCGACCCCTTTTTAAAAAATGTTAATATGTGGTATAAAATTCTGAAAGATTTAGGGCAGGGGTGCCAGGGTCCTGGAAGCCATGAGGCCTGAGCTTGGATCTGGGAGGGATGGAGCGCTGAGCCCTTAACGTCTGCCAGGCTGCCGGCCTCCCACAACCTGTTCCTGCTGCCACTTCCTCGTTGGACACCTGCCTGGGACAGTGAGTGATGGCCACCCGGGAATCTCTGTTGACTTTGGAAGCAATACCTGGTAACAAACATGACTGAGTTCTGGCTTATTTCAGCTCTTGGGGAGAAAACATGTCAACAAACGTGGGAGAAATTGCATGCGGCAACTACAAAGAACAATAATCTTGCTGTTAGTTCAAAGTTCAACATTCCAAGGATCCAAGATGGCTGCTTGGGTAGACACCTAACCGCAGCAGCACACAACAATTTCAATGGAATACAACTAAAATGTAGAGTGGACATCGCCCAGAGCTACAGGTAGTCGACTGACTGAAAATTCTACAACAAGAAGGAAAGAGAAAACCAGAAGGAAAATCAGAGGAGCTGAAAAAAAGCCTAAGGTACGGAGACATGCTGTGCGCTCGCATGCACACACGCACGCACGCGCGGAGAGGTCACAGCTGGAGAGGAGGAGAGGGCTGGGTGCTGCCTGGCATTCCCTAGCAGGAAGAAAATAAAACCCCTAGCCTGGGCTAAACCCCTGAACTGGCAGCGCTGACCCCCAGTTATGAGCCAGACCCTGGGGACCCAGGCTCTGGCAGGGGGAGATGGGGCTGTGAGGCAGAATCCCGGGGAGCAGCGAAAAGCAGGGCCCCCGGAGTCGGGCGCACATTGCGAGCAGAGGACTGAATGTTGACTCTGTTGCTGGATTACCCTATCCTGAAGAAACAAAGCCTCCGGTGGCGCTGAGCCTCAGTCCGGACTGCTCTGAACCCCAGTCCTGGACCAGACCCTGGGGACCCAGGCTCGGGCAGGGGGAGACGGGGCTGTGAGGCGGAATCCCAGGGGAGTGGCGAAAAGCGGAGCCCCCAGAGTAGCGCGCACTGCGCACAGAGGACAGTCTGTTGACTCTGATCCTAGACTCCCCTAGCGGGAAGGAGAAAAAAAAGCTCCAGACTGGAGAAATGCGACAGGGAGCAGGAGCCCCTGCTGGATACCAGCCAGCCGGGCGCCAGCAGGGAGCCCGGCGATGGGGCCCCCAGGGGGGGGGGATGCCCCTGAGCCATCGACCTCTGAGCGCGGGCAACGGAGCCAAGGCCGGGGGCTGCATCCTGGGCGGCGCTGACCCCGGCAACAGGCTGGAGCAGCACGGGAGCCCGCGGAGAACAAAGGGGTGCCACAGGCCAACCTGCTGAGCTCCCAGGACAAGGAGGAAGAAACCAAAGTTCTCAATGTGAAGGAATCAAGTGAGAGCAAAAGATAGTAAAATTACTTAAGAAAGAATACAAAGAAGATCTTGAAAAAATCAAAGACTAAGTCAGAACTCAACTCAACAGCCAACATTGCAACATAAATGTGTTTAAAAAAAAAAAAAGAACAGAATGTTTTAACAGCGGCGGCCAGGCCTAGAGTGCCCAGGCACAAAGCAATGGCAACCGGGCCCGGAGCAGCAACGGCCAGGCCCCAGAGCAGCAGCAGCCAGAACCAGAGCAACAACAGCCAGCACTGGAGCAGCCAGACCTGGGGCAGTGGCAGCCAGGCCTGAGGCGGAGGCAGCCAAGCCCAGGGTGGCCAGTCCAGGAACACCCAGACCCGGAGTGGCCGGGCCCGGAGAAGCCGGGCCCAGAGCAGCCGGGTTGGGAGCAGCCAGGTCCAGAACAGCAGTAGCCAAGCCCGGAGCATGCAGGCTGGGAGCGGCCAGACTCGGAGTGGCCGGGCCCGGGGCAGCCGGGCCCAGAGCAGCCGGGTCCAGAACAGCAGTAGCCAAGCCCGGAGCATCCAGGCTGGGAGCGGCCAGACTCGGAGTGGCCGGGCCCGGGGCAGCCGGGCCCAGAGCAGCCGAGTCTGGTGCGGCCAGGCCCGGAGCAGCAGCTGCCAGGCTGGGAGCGGCCAGGCCTGGAGCAGCCGGGTCTGGTGCGGCCAGGCCCGGAGCAGCAGCAGCCAGGTCCAGAGCAACTAGGTCAGGAGCGGCGGTGACCAGACCCGGAGCAGCTGGTTGTGGAACGAACCAGAGCAACAGAGGCCAGGCCCGGAGCAGCCAGGCCCAGAACAGCTTGCTCCTCGCCTGCCCCTGCCCCAGGGCTGCCTCTCAGACATGGCTGGAAACTTTTGTGGGAACTTGAGGGTCTGCTGAATCAAGTGATGAAGGCTTAGATCTGGATGTGTTGAGTTAGTATAGGGCTGGGGTGTTGATCTGTGAGTGCCTTGGGTGGGGCCTGGATTAGGCTGGTTGACCTATTTGGAAATGTCTTTTGTGTGAATTGTATCATTGGGCATGTGGTGGTATTATTGATATGAGAAAATGCTAAGTAACTGATTTACTATCTGAAAAGGGATTTACTATCGGGGAAAGGGAGGGAGGAAGAGACTGAACATAAACTGCACCTATGGATGAGGACAATGGGGGATGGGGATGGGGCGGAGGGTGGGGTGGAAACCTGGTGGAGGGGGGAAGAAATGAGGAACCTTTGTAACAATATGAACAATATAGATTGATTAAAAAAAATTAAAAAAAAACATACAAAGTTCAACATTCCAGACTTAAAGGTTGGCACACTGGATGTCTTGGTTGGTTTGTCAGATGAACTGGCTAAACTGGATGCATTTGTAGAAGGGGTGGTTAAGAAAGTGGCCCAACAACAACAACAACAAATCAATAAAATATATTAAAAAAAAAAGAAAAAGAAATGAATCTTGCCAAAAACTGTGAGAGTGAGCTAGGAGCATATCCTTTTGAATCAAGCCTTGAAATGACTAGAGTCTTGTTAGAGAACCCAGCTAAGCATAACCAAATTTCTGACCCAGAGACTCTAATAGATAACAAATGTGTATTGTTTTAGTCTGCTAAATTGGAGCAATTTGTTACATAGCAATAGATAACAAATACAGCTCCCAGCCTTCCTCAAGAATATGCTGGCCAACACCCGGTTTGGCTCAGTGAATAGAGAATTATTCTGGTCAAGGTCACATCCCCAGTGGGGGATGTGCAAGAGGCAGCTGATCAATGATTCTCTCTCCTTGATGTTTTAACTCTCTATCCCTCTCTCTTCCTCTCTTAAAAAAAAATCAATAAAATATATTAAAAAGAAAAAAGAAAAAAAAAAAAAAAAAGAAAGTGGCCCAATATATGGCTGACATATTGGAGGACAGTAAAGATAAAGTTCAGGAGAACCTGCTGGCAAATGGAGTTGATTTGGCTACTTATATAACAAGATTTCAGTGGGACATGGCTAAATATCCAATCAAGCAGTCTCTGAAAAATATTTCTGAAATAATTGCCAAGGGAGTGACTCAGATAGACAATGACCTGAAATCTCGAGCATCTGCATATAATAACCTGAAAGGGAATTTTCAGAATTTGGAACAAAAGAATGCAGGAAGTTTGCTAACTTGAACTCTCTCAGAAATTGTGAAGAAGGATGACTTTGTTCTTGATTCAGAGTATCTTGTCACTTTACTACCGTGTTTCCCCAAAATAAAACATCCTCCAAAAATAAGACCTACTTACAGGTTTCCTTCTGAGTGAAATATAAGGCATCCCCTCGAAAATAAGGCCCCCCCCCCCCCCGGCTCTGTCTCAGAATGAAATTTAATTTACCGTAAACTGGTCGCAACTGACAGCTGCATTGCAAATGCACTGCGAGCTGGCTACCTTGACAAGAAGTACTCATTTAAAGACAGTGCTATTGCTCAACATGAGAGATTTGGTCCACTGATTCTGAAAGAAATGGAGTCACAAGAAATTCACCAGGAAATTCAGGAATTGGATTGTTATGATGATGTTCCAGAAGATGATGACATGATTGTCATTGAGTAAATGAGTAAATTCTTGATACTGTAGGATTCACAGTTTGTCTGGTTTGTGTTAACAACTACCATACTACTGTACCGTATACAGGTAATAAATTTCCTTTATTTTCATTTAACAATAAATGTGTACCGTATTCTTCTTCATGGAAAAATAAGACATCCCCTGAAAATAAGACCTAGTGCATCTTTGGGAGCAAAAATTAATAAGACACTGTCTTATTTTTGGGGAAACAGGGTAGTTGTAGTTCCCAAGTTAAACCACAACGACTGGATGAAGCAGTATGAAACGCTCACGAGATGGTCGTTCCCAGGTCTAGCAACGTGCTCTCAGAGGACCAAGACAGTTACCTTTGTAATGTCACCTTGTTTAGGAAGGCAGTTGATGACTTCAGACACAAAGCCAGAGGAAAACAAATTCATTGTTTGTGATTTCCAGTATAATGAAAAGGAGATGAAAGCAGATAAAGAAGAAATTAACAGGCTTTCTACTGACAAGAAGAAGCAATTTGGACCACTTGTGCGGTGGCTGAAAGTGAATTTCAGTCAAGTATTTATTGCATGGATTCATGTGAAAGCATTGAGGGTTTTTGTAGAGTCTGTTTTAAGGTATGGCTTGCCAGTGAACTTCCAAGCAATGCTACTTCAGCCCAATAAGAAAACAATGAAGAAACTAAGAGAAGTATTATATGAACTGTATAAACATCTAGATAGCACTGCAGCAGCTATCATTGATGCGCCTATGGACATCCCCGGCTTAAACCTGAGCCAGCAGGAATACTACCCCTATGTATATTACAAGATCGACTGCAACTTGCTGGAATTCAAGTGAAAAGTGCTCCCCCCACAGCCCCGTCTTTGTGTGGGCGTCTGCTCACCGAAATAGGCTGAAGTATGGCAGTGTTTTTAACTCTATCACCCTTGCTTGCTTCTGACCCCTCTTCCTAGATGAATTCTCCCATGGTGGTCCATTTTCTTTCTTTCTTTTCTTTTTCTTTAAAAAAAAAAATATTTTATTGATTTTTTACAGAGAGGAAGGGAGAGAGAGATAGAGAGCCAGAAACGTCGATGAGAGAGAAACATCGACCAGCCGCCTCCTGCACATACTGGGGATGTGCCCGCAGCCAATGTACATGCTTTTGACCGGAATCGAACCCGGGACCCTTCAGTCCGCAGACCGACGCTCTACCGCTGAGCCAAACTGGTTTCGGCGGTGGTCCATTTTCAAACATTTTCTTTGAAAAGAAAAAATGTCTTGTTTCTTTTTATTGATCATGTCTGTAATTGTGTACTAAAAAAATCAGAGTCTATTTATAAATAGGATAGTTTATTTAAAGAGGTCCTTCCTCATCCATGTTGTGATATTCGTAATTCCATTTGTTACTGTTGTGCACAAAAGCCTTGTTTACAAGGGAATGGTGTAAACATTTATGCCATTTTGCTCACTATATTTAGTAGACATAACTGTTTAGTATTTACTGAATCGTGATGAAAAGAAATGTGACAATATTCAGGTATGTGCTTTCTCAATGTTTCCAATGAAATCTCTGAGCTTTGTTGACATTCACAGGAGAGAATAAAGTGACCTGTGCAAAGGCAAAAAAAAAAAAAAAAAAGATGTAGGGCAATGAGAACTAAAGAGAAAATAAACAAATGGGACTACATCAAAATAAAAAGCTTTTTCACAGCAAAATAAACCATCAACAATAAAAAATGGGCAACAGACCTAAATAGAATCTTTTCAAAAGAAGACAGAAGGAAGGCCAAGAGACACATGAAAACATGCTCAAAGTCACTAATTATCAGAGAGATGCAAATCAAAACAACAATGCAGTACCATCTCATATCCTGTGCCCTGTTCCGCCCCCCAATTTTTAATTTGCTGCATAGCATGTGTCATTACCTATCATGATGTTTGTATCTTTTTTTTAGATGTTTTAATTTTATTTTTAGGGAGACAGGAAGGGAGAGGGATGGAAACATCTGTGAGAGAGAAACAACTGGCTGTCTCCTGCATGCCCCCACCAGGTATCGAGGCCATAACCTGGGCATGTGCCTCGGAATCAAACTGGTAACCTCTTGGTCCATGGGTTGACGTTCAACCTCTGAAGCTCACCAGCTGGGCAATGTTTGTGTCATATTTGCTTATATTTCAGCCTCCCCCACTGGAATGTGAGCCCATGTGAGCAGGTACTTTTTTTTTTTTGTCTCTTTCATGGCTCTATTTCCAGCATTAAGGACAGTGTCTGACACATATTTGGTAATCAGCAAATTAATGGAATAACCTTTTTCTACCAGCCATAATGTTCATGCCATTTCCAGAGGTCACCAAGTTAAGTGTACAGTGTACATCTTTCAGATTTTTTTTAACATTTTTATTAAGGTATTATATGTGTACATATCTTACCATTGGCCCTCCAGCCCCACTCCCATACATGCCCTCGCCCCCCAGTATTTTGCATCCATTGGTTATGCTTATGTGCATAATAAGTCCGTCAGTTGATCTCTTATCGCCCCCACCACTCCCTAATCTAACCCCTGTAATTTGACAGTCTGTTTGATGCTTTACTGTCTCTGTATCTATCTTTTTGTTCATCAGTTTATAATGTTCTTTATTATCCACAAATGAATGAGATCATGTGGTATTTTTCTTTTATTTACTGGCTTATATGACTTAGCATAATGTTCTCCAGTTCCATCCAAGTTCAGGAGGCACAGAGAACCCCAAACAAGAAGAACCCAAACAGACGCAAGCCCAGACACATCATAATTAAAATGCCAAAAATTAAAGACAAAGAGAATCTTAAAGGCAGCAAGAGAAAAGAAAACTGTTACCTACAAAAGAGTTCCCATAGGGCTGACACCTGATTTCTCATCAGAAACTCTATAGGCCAGAAGGGAATGGCATGAAGTACTCAAGATAATGGAAAGCAAGGATCTGAAACCAAGATTAGTATATCCAGCAAGACTATCTTCAAAATAGACAGTCAAATAAAGAGCTTCCCAGACAAAAAAAAAAAAAAAAAAAAAAAAAAAAAAAAAAAAAAAAAAAAAAAAAAAGGCTAAAGGAGTTTATCACCACCAAGCCAGCATTATAAGAAATGCTAAAGGTATTGTGAAGGGATTGCTGAGAAGAAAAACAGAGAGAAACCTAGCCATACAGAATTAAAATGGCTATAAATAAGTACCTCTCAATAATAACCCTAAATATAAATGGCTTAGATGCTCCAATCAAAAGGTGGAGGGAAGCTGAATAGATACAAAAACTATATGCTGTCTACAAGAGACCCACATCAAAACAAAAGACACACCCAGGATGACAGTGAAGGGATGGAAAAAATTTTTCCAAGCAAATGGAAAAGAAAAAAAAAAAAAAAAAAAAAAGAAGCTGAAGTAGCAATACTCATATCTGATGAAATATACTTTAAAAGCATCATGCTAAATGAAATAACCCAGTCAGAGAAAGATAAATATCATATGATCTCACTCATTTGTGGAATATAATGAACAACATAAACTGATGAACAAAAACAGATCCAGAGTGGAAAAAATATACTAGAATATAATAGAAGTAATCCTGTTACTTGCAGATTTTTAATATTTTCTACAACTTTTGTCGTATCACACTATGTTAGTACAGTTTTGGTAGTATTATTATACTTAAAATCCTTTTATTCTTGAAATATTAATGTTTATTGCATGTTATATTATTATATGTAAGATCATTTTTCTTGAATATTTGGTGTTTATTGCATGTAACATCATATTTAAAGTCATTTTTCTTGAGATAGTAATGTTTATTCATGTAACATTATTATATTTAAGATAATTTTTCTTGAAATATTAAGGTTAATTGCATATAACATTATACTTAAAATCACTTTTCTTGGAATAAAAAAAAGAAAAAAGAAAAAAAGAAATGCTATTTATCTTTACAAAATCTGGTTTCAACAAACTGTATGTAATAGATATTAAATAAATAAGAATTTTACTATATCTAGATTTTCTTTTCTGGAAGCTTAAGTGCAATTACATTAGGTTCTACTAACTGTTTTGTTCCTATGAAACTTTAGTACAATAATTCTCTTCTGGTGGTGGAAGAGGGAAGCACAAGTCTGAAAGCTCTTGTTTTCAGCCTCTGATACCAATTTAAAGTGCTTGCATACTTTGTCTCTTTAGAGTAGGGGTGTCGAACTCAATCAGAGAAGGGGCCAAAATCTAAAATCCAGCCTAAATCTCGGGCCGAATGGTTTACTGAACAGTCATAAACTGTCATTGTGATGGAAACGCAGCGGAGTGCAGTGATGACAGCGTGGTGCGGGCCACATTGCAAGGCCTGGCGGGACGGATTTGGCCCGCGGGCCTTGTGTTTGACACATGTGCTTTAGAGTATGACTTATCTTGGAGGTAATCAAGGTTTCTATCATTCCAGAAATTATAGACTACCATTGAAGTTGCTTCAGGATTTCCTTACTTTTTCCATTGCTAGAATAAATTATTATATTTTGAGTATAAAATGTTTGCATGAAGTTGTTGGTGAAATAAATTACACTCTTTTTGATTAATAGATTTTTATGCATTTAGTATTCTTTTTCTAAGGAGCACATTAAAATTTTCCTTTGAGAATCTTCGAATTCACTTAATCTGGGGCTGTCCCAGTCACCAGATACAAGAATGGAGCAAATGATGACTATCCTTCACATACCTGTAAACATACCTTTTCTGAATAGAAACACTGAAAAATAATCACAAAGAAATTTTTGTGTGTGATGATTTTTTTCCTCATCACAAATTAAAATTAAAACAAAAGGATATATGTTTTCCAGTGGCTCTCTGCCAATATAAAGTAGTTAAAAATAAGTCATAAAAAAGAAGTCTAAGCTTTGTCAGTAATTGGCTGTGGCTTTAAGGAAGTTACTTGCACTTCCTGGATCTCAGTCTCTTCATCTTTAATAGGATAAGATAAGATTAGTGGTCTTCTAAGGGGAGAAACCAAGATGGCGGCATAGGGTAGACACCCAAATGCAGCCTACCACAACAAATTTGAATTTAGAACTGAAAAACAGGGGAAACATTGCCCTGAAGCACCGTAAGGCTGGCTGAGAGGAGGCTCTACCATCCGGGAAGGACAGAGAACCTCAGGAATTGTGAAGGTACAGAGAACTGTGTGTGTAAAAAGGCGGTCGCTTGACTTCGCTGCTGGCTTGCTTGCGGAGTGCTGAGAGGGCGGGCTGAGTTCGCTACTGGCTTACTCCCGGCGGAGAGGGTGGACAGCTAATGCTCGGCTGGCTTTCTTGTTCGGGAAGAAAACAGAACCACCCTATTGCACTGATAGAGGGCCCCAGACAGGGAGAGGCCAGACTGTCAGGCACTGGGCAGAGATCTCTTGGAGGTGTGTGAAGCCAGCCCTCAGAAACCAGAATCTCGTAGGGAGGGGCTGACCAAAGCTTGTTTGCACCACCCCGAGAATCTGCCCCATCCAAGCGGACCACAGAAGCCCTTCCAGTGGCTAGCTTTCTTGTTTGCAGTTAATGGGACTCTTCTAGGGAGTGACAAGAATCTAAAGCTTGTCTACGCCTAGACCAAAGAGGTGCGCACGCCTGCAACCAATTGTGCGGGATTCAACAAAGCTTGTCTGTGCCCCATTCAAGAGGAATACAGAAACCCTTCTAGCTGAGACACTTCTGATTCTCATAGCCAATTGGCTTAGAGAATCAACACTTCTCCGTGATACCAACAACAAGCAAGGCTTAACAACAAGACTGCACACACAGCCCACAAAGGGCTACACCAAGACTGTCCACCTCAGGTAACTGGGAGGCTGACCCACTGAACCATATAGGACATCATAGCACACAAAGCCACCCTACCAATTCAGGGAAGCTGTGAAAATGCCGAGACAAGGAAACAGATCACAAACAAAAGAAATGGAGGAAAAGAAGCGACTGGATATAGAGTTCAAAACCATGCTT